GGGGGGGGGGGCAGGATGCTGTGTAGCGTGTATAGTTTTATAATCCCAGATGGGGGAGGGTTTAGCAGTTTAATACACACACACACACACACACACACCAGGCCTCCCATGACCGGAGCGCAAAACCAAAACAATGGGGCTAAACACGGGTTTTAAACCCCCCCCCACAAAAATCCAAGCGGGCAAAGCCCCCCCTATTGATGAGAGATCTGACATTTGAACCCGACCCCCACACCTCTACGCCCCTCTCCCCCTGGCTAGGCGTGGGGGTGGCCTAACAGGCCCCACATCTGCTATTAACGGAGGGAGGCTCCATCCCCGACTGGTTTTTGCAGACGCCAAACCACCGTCACAGGGGCTAGTTCCAGAATCCAACAGCCCCCTCGGCCGGGGCAGACGAGAGGCAAATCGCCCGGCCCCCACCCCCCTGACATGCCCCCCAGCCCCAGGGGGCTCAGCCCCATTCTTTGTTCGGGGGCTGGAGCGGGGAGCGGGCTGGGCCAACAGCGGGCACTGACCGCCTCGGCCAAGCGGCCTTTGGGGTGCGGGGCTCGGGGCAGGGGGGGCCCCGCTCCGGGCTGGGGGGAGACGGAACAGTGTTCATGAGCCGGGGGGGGGGGGCGTGGGGCTGGTTGCCTCCGGGCAGCCTCTGGCTCAGGCTCCATTTTAGGGCAGCCTTGTCCCATCCCCCCGCCGCACCAACCCCCCCGAATAAACCCCCTCAGCCCCGCCAGCCGGCCCCAATACCCACCGGTTGTGGTTGTCGGGAGCCGGGTCTGCCTGGGGAGCCGAGTCAGGAGGGGAGATGGGGGCTCGGGGAGCCGGATGGCTGCGGATTGAAAAGGCAGAGGCGGCGCTGGCTGGATTGCGGGTTCTCTCGCGCTGGCTGCCTCTCTGTGTCTGGCTGCCCCTCCTCCTCCAGTCCTGCCCGCCCGGCCTGTCAATCCCCGGCCTGGAGTGAGCAACTCAGCCCGCAGCCAGCGGCCTACAAACCGGACAGCGACACCTGCAGGGACCCCGGGGGAAAGCCAGGCGCTCCGCTGCACAGAGGGGTTAATGACAGAGGGAGAAAGTAAAAGGAGAGGAGAGAAAGAGGGAAAGAAAGGAGGGAGCGTGCCAGGGAGGAGAAGAAAGGAGATTGAGAAAGAATGAAAGAAAGAGAGAAGTAAAGAGTCAAAGACAAGAAAAAAGGGGAAAGAATAATTGAGAAAGAGGAGAGATGGGGAAGGGCCCACCCAACTGTCTAACCCCAGGATCTGCTCTGGGGAGCTCTCTATAGTTGGATTCCAAAACCTCAGGGATTTGGGGGAGGACAGAACAGTCCGTGCCACCATGGTTACAGGCCATGAAACGGGACATGAAAGTGATTGCAGGAGGAAAGTGTGAGCTTGGTCCTGCCAAGACAGGCTCCAGCAGCAACAGCTGTGGGATCTTTGAGCCTTGGCATTGTCAGGATTACTTTATGGTCAGGCAGCAATTATTCTCCTGCTTTCAATAAAAATAAACCCAAGCTGATTAGATGTACATGCAAACGGGAGAGAGAGAAACCTGAGCTGAACAGGAGGAGGTTTGGTCAAGGAGCAGTCAAGAGGGAAGTATCAGACTTTCCCATTTCTCATTTTAGGCAGGTATGGGATGAAAGTTGAGGAGGAGTCTTCCCATTGCCTTCAAGGGCTTTAGATCAGGCCCAGAGTGTGCAAAGGATGAAGCAGTTTCTCAGTAAGATGAGAAGCCAGGGAATTTCTCTTTCACCCCTCTCTCTAAACATTAAATCAGTTCCCAATCTAGCAATGATACAACCCCCCTAAATGCCTCATCTGTGTGTCTGTGGGAGTCATACCCTTGGCTGTAGCTCCCTGACCTTGATGTGGCTTCAGACCCTCCCAAGAATGCCACAAATCGCTGGAGCCACCATCTCCCAACAGCTTTATTTTCTATAGCAACCTGTATCTCCCCAAAAGTGACACCATTTGGGCCGTGCCCTGGGGCTTCCACCGTGTTATTGTGAGTTCTGTATTCAGAGGGCTTGCAGGATCAGCCCTGGAACAACAACAAAAGGGAGAAGCAAATCAAGAGACAGATATGGCCAGGGAGGAAAGAGAGATTATCAGCGGAGATTTTGTCACACACAAGATATGGCACAAGTAGCATCAATTAAAGTTTCACCTACCTATACAGACTGCCTGACATGTGTTGCAGCCCTGCCAAGGAGTGACCACCTTTAACACTGAGATGGGAGATCATTTTCCATAGCCCATTTAGTTCATCTCTTTATTAAGGCTGCCAGAAAGAGGCCCAGTTAATGACAGATGTGGTAGCACAGGGGTTCTCAAACTGGGGGTTATGACTCCTCAGGGGGTCACAAGGTTATTACATGGGGGGTCATGAGCAGGGCTGGCCGGCTCAAGCATTTCTGCTGCCCCAAGAAAAAAAAAAAAAAGCCTGCTATCAGCGGCGGCAGTTCAGCGGCAGGTCCTTCGCTCCTAGAGGGAGTGAGGGACCTGCCGCCCCCTTCCCTTGGCTGCCCCAAGCACCTGCTTGTTAAGCTGGTCCCTGGAGCCGGCCCTGGTCATGAGGTGTCAGCCTCCACCCTAAACCTTGCTTTGCCTCCAGCATTTACAACAGTGTTAAATATATAAAAAGTGTTTTTAATTTATAATGGGGGGGGGGAGGTCGCACTCAGAGACTTGCTGTGTGAAGGGGGTCAGCAGTACAAAAGTTTAAGAACCACTGAAGTAGCAGTTTTATGGCATGGATACCTGTCTGAGACCATTTCACAGTGGCTCTCAGCTACCGGTCAAATGCTAAGCCTTTTACCTTCATATCTCAATTGTATTTAAAGTCTCACTTCTGATTCTTCTTTGATTTTACAATCAAGGAATCCCTACAGCCAGCAGAGAATTCCCTCTGCCTAGCATACTCCTGTTTACATTGGGATACATGATATGATGGCAATAGAAAATTTATTTAATTCTCCTTTATTATGACATTCATATTTGGTGCCCATCACTGTGCCATGCACTGCTGTTGTAGGAGGTTTCAGTATAGATCTTCATCACCAGCATCAAAACCTTCTCCCTTGAGGAGCACATCTCTTTCAGCTCCTATAAGGACTCTGCTATCTGAAAGTGTCGACTGCTAGCGTGGGCAGAGACCTCCATCTCATCTCATCAGCCATGGAAACTCCTTCCCTTAGATCTCTCCCATCCAGCCTTAGGGCAGCCTAGTCGAAAGCTTTTGGGGTTGCAGCCTTCCTTGCTAAGTTACATTACCTTCCCAGCTGTACCGGTCTTTGGGTCCAATCCCTCCTTATATAGCTGGGCCAAGATAAAACCAGTGGATAGTAAGGTCCTGCAGCTGCTGGGCCACTACATTCTGGTGTGCTCCCCATGAAATGGTTGGACCCAGAACCAGTGGCAATATGCCTCCAGAGTCCGTCTCAGTCTGTTTAAAATGGCAGCTTTGACCTCTGGATATGAGCCAGACTGCTCAACACTCAAGGTTCTGTACACTGCCTGACCCTCTCCCATTAGAAATGGTGCCAATCACATCAACTCTTTCCAGCTGACAGCACTGGCCACTCAAAGGCCTTAAAAGTCATCTTCCAGCCACAGCTTTGCAAACCCAGAGCCGGGCCTGCCTCAACTGCCCTATCCAGATCCAGCAAGACTCCCTGGAGTTCTCCAGGCATTTCAACATTTGCCCTTGGTGCTGGGGTTGGGCCTCATGCCATTGAATGGCAAACTGAAATGTTTGCCACTTCTGTTAACTGCAGAAGGAGTGGCTGGGTCCGTGGCTGTTCTGCCAGCGGACAGACAATATCCTCCATCCTTCCTCTCCATAGCTGCCAAAAACGAAAGACAAAAAAAACAAAGGGTGTGAGGTCTGGCAGCCTGGTTCTACCATCAGTTATCCCAGGGGCAGTCTGACTGTAGCAACCTCTGTACTTACCAGGACCCTTAGTCAAGGAGAACTTTTTTGCACCATGAGGGGAAAAAGGACCAAGGCTCCAGTAAGGCAGAAATCTCTGCATACACTCAGAAGTTGTGTGTTTCAATTGCTTAAAATTTTATTATAATTGATTCTTTATTTTTCAGACTTGGCAAAACTCAATTTCCCTACTAAAGGCTCCACTGTGAAGTTTCTAAGTTCTATCAGTTCGTAATAATCTGATTGAAAAAAATAGGACTCAATTTGTTTTCTTTATTAAAAAAGGAGCGATCTTACTATTCTGTAGCAGAAAGAAGAACAGCCCCTTGTTGCAGGCTGATCAGCAGAGTTTACAAGGTATCAGAGCACTCAATGCCCATCCCTCCCTCCCAGTGGAAGGTGCTGTTATTGCCATTGGGCTTTTCCCATAGAAAAGTGTTCCTCAGAGAGTGATCAATGCCTGAGAAGTAGTAGTAGCCCCTAGGCTACGAGAAAACAGCTAGGCCCAATCACCTGGATTTCTGCAGATTGGAGGTATTTACTCTAAGATCCAGTCACCAGGAGTATGCCGAGGGAGGGAAGGCCTGAGCAGATGCTTGGTCCATGTGCCATGTTCCTAAGTGGTGCTGCAAGCCTATTATCCAGACATCAAGCCATCAAGAGAGTCAGCAGTACTGCAAAAAACGAACAAACCCATAATCATTCTGTATGTCAGCGTCCGTCCATTACTGGAGTCAAAATATTCCACTTGTTTCTCTCTCTTGTCTCATTCTCACTGGATCTCATCTCTTCTCTCTGGAGAATGTTGACCATTCCCTCTGTTCCTCATCTTACAGCCGCTCAGGTGGAACAACCCATCCTCCTCTGGACATCAGCACACTCTCACTCACACAGTCTCATTCAGAGAATCTGGGCATCAGTCTGGTACATTTGCTTTTCTTTCTGTCTGTCTCTATCCATTTTCCTCCTCCTGGGCAGGCAAAGTAAACTCTCTCTCACTTGCACATGAATATATTTTCTATCTTGTTTCCCCAAAGAGCTTGATCCTTCTGAGCACTGGTATAGAATATTGTACAGGTCCAAGCAGAGCAGAGAGCATATATGGGCATGTTGCCCCCTGGTTGCTCCAGCCTTGTTAGCAGCACAAGGCTAAATACTAGGGCTGTAAAGTGATTTTAAAAAATGAATCGCGATTAATCACATGATTAAAAAAAAAATCATGATTAATTGCACTGTTAACACAGAACGTAAAGTGTACTGTGATCGCTTTATATTTATTTTTATTGCAAATACTTGCACTGTAAGAAACAAAAGAAATAGTATTTTTCAATTCACCTAATACAAGTACTGTAGTGCACTCTCTTGATCATGAAAGTTGAACTTACAAATGTAGAATTCTGTACAAAAAATAACTGCATTAAAAAATACACCATTCCAGAGAACATGCATCCATGCTTCTCGATAATGATCCAAAGCAGAGTGGACTGACATGTTCATTTTCATCATCTGAGTCAGGTGCCACCAGCAGAAGGCTGATTTTCTTTTTTGGTGGTTCGGGTTCTGTAGTTTCCGCATCTGAGTGTTGCTCTTTTAAGACTTCTGAAAGTATGCTCCATACCTTGTTCCTCTCAGATTTTGGACGGCACTTCAGATTCTTAAATCTTGGGTCGAGTGCTATAGCTATTTTTAGAAATCTCACATTGGTACCTTCTTTGCATTTTGTCAAATCTGCTGTGAAAGTGTTCTTAAAACGAACATGTGCTGGGCCATCATCAGAGACTGCTATAACATGAAATATATATATATTGCAGAATGCGTGTAAAACAGAACAGGAGACATACAATTCTCCCCCAAGGAGTTCAATCACAAATGTAATTAAGATATTATATTTTAACGAGCGTCATCAACATGGAAGCATGTCCTCTGGAATGGTGGCTGAAGCATGAAGGGGCATACGGATGTTTAGCATATCTGGCACATAAATACCTTGCAATGCCGGCTACAAAAGTGCCATGTGAACACCT